ATTATTATTGTAGCCCAAGCTTAATTTAATGGGCGAGAAACCTAAAATAATAAATAGACGAAAGTGGGCTAGGGTTTTTAAGGTTTGCATATATACTCGATTCTTCTCAGTGACGACGAGGTTTAAGCTTCAATTCAATGGCGTTGTATCTTCTTTACGAATCATCCTCCTGTTACTGCCTGTTCGAGGCGCACGGCCTCGATGAGATCGGTCATAACACTGAGGCTGTTCGAGCCTCTGTTTCGGACCTTAGTCGGTTCGGTCGGGTTATCCAGCTGACTGCTTTACACCCCTCACAATCTGCACTCGATGCTCTCAACCAAATCAATGCCGTCTCCGAAGGTACTCTTCTTTCTTTATTCTTCTTGCTTGGGATTCAAGTAAATTACATATCTTTTCGTTTTTAGGGTATATGAGTGACGAGCTAAGAAGTTTTCTGGAGTTGAATCTCCCCAAAGTCAAGGAAGGTAAAAAACCCAAGTTTAGCTTAGGAGTAGCTGAGCCAAAGATCGGTTCTTGCATATTTGAAGCCACGAAGATTCCTTGTCAGAGCAATGAGTTCGTCCATGAGCTTCTTAGAGGTGTTCGACAACATTTTCATAGTTTCATCAAGGACTTCAAGGTGATTGATTACTTCTTCTTTTTGTTTGTTTCGAAGAATCATCTCTTTACTAAAAACATCATCTTCTCATATATTGTACATAGCCTGGTGATATAGAAAAAGCTCAACTTGGACTAGCTCATAGCTACAGTAGAGCAAAGGTCAAATTCAACGTTAACCGAGTTGATAATATGGTTATTCAAGCTATTTTCCTGCTTGATAAATTTGATAAAGATATCAATTCCTTTTCTATGAGAATCAGGTTTATGTTGTTTTGTTATCCTCTCTCAGAATAATATTGATTTGGAACATTGGTTAACTATAATGTGCTCTTTTTAGAGAATGGTACTCATGGCACTTCCCTGAACTAGTCAAGATAGTAAATGACAACTATCTTTATGCCCGAGTTTCAAAGATTATAAAGGACAAGTCTTTGTTGTCTAAAGAGCACATTCCGATGCTGACTGAAGTCCTTGGTGATGAAGATAAGGCAAGGGAGGTAGTTGATGCCGGAAAAGCATCCATGGGTAATAATAATAAATTGATGCACCTCTCTCACTAAAAAAAATCATGATCTTGTCTTCTATGTTTGTTTGTTCTAAAAAGACAAATTTCTTGTATTTGAAGGCCAGGATTTATCGCCGATTGATTTGATCAATGTCCAGACCTTTGCACAGAAAGTTATCGACCTTGCGGATTACAGAAAAAGGCTCTACGATTATCTTGTTGCTAAAATGAGCGATATTGCTCCAAATTTGGCGGCTTTGATTGGAGACATGGTTGGAGCGAGGTTGATTTCTCATGCAGGGAGTCTGACAAATCTTGCAAAGTGCCCATCTTCAACTCTTCAGATTCTTGGAGCCGAGAAGGCACTTTTCAGGTGCATTTTCATGATCAAGCCTTTTCCTTTGTACTGTGCAGCTGCCAGATCTTTTCACTCTAAACTCTGTTGTAAAATTTTTTTAGGGCACTGAAAACACGAGGAAACACACCAAAATATGGTTTGATATTCCATTCGTCATTCATTGGCCGTGCATCTGCGAAAAACAAGGGCCGTATCGCTCGATATGTAGCCAACAAGTGTTGTATTGCTTCTCGGATTGACTGTTTCGCTGGTAAATGATCTTGACTCGCCTTTGTATTAGAAAGTGAAGTTTTTATGTAAATTCTTATATAGTTATAAACCATCTATGTATCTCCTATTGCAGATAGTAGCACTACAGCTTTTGGTGAGAAACTTCGCGAACAAGTAGAGGAAAGACTAGACTTTTATGATAAAGGTGTTGCTCCACGTAAAAATGTCGATGTAATGAAAGAGGTGTTGGGAAATCTTGAGAAGAGAGGTATTGTATATTTTATACTCTTTGTGTTCTTGGTCTCTTTGTGAACAAAGTTGGGAGGTTTGGTTTTGTTTGATGGGTGTGTTTCTCATTGGCTCTTTCAGATGAAGTAATGGTTGATGCATC